TATCGGCTAATCTCAATTACCTCCATACTCTGCAAGATTATGGAGCGTATATTGAACGTCCGCTTAATGGCATACCTAGAACAGAATGACCTCCTTAGTGACCGACAGTATTTCGGGTTTCGCTGAAATCGGTCAGCTGGGGACCTTCGTATGCCACCCACGTATGGGGCGAGGCACTCGAGAACAGTGGGAAAGCACTTGCTGTTTCCCTTGTCCTTGCCTCGAAGGCCTTTGAAGGAGTTTGGCACGCTAGCCTTTTGGGTAAGTTTACAGCGTACGACTTATCCCCTGGTCTGATTGACTGGGTATAGGACTTTCTGAGTAAACGGTCTCTCCGGATCGTCGACGATGGCTACTCATCCAATCCTGTGGCGACTAACGCCGGTGTTCCTCAGGGTTCCGTTCTCTCTGGAACACTCTTCCTGTTACATATTAATGATCTGCTTATGCCAGGTATCTACGGGTATGCAGACGATAGCACAGTTGTGGAGAGATACCAATCAAGTCTTTGTGTCAGTCGGGAGCAAATCCAGTCCGAGAGAGAAGCTATGGTAGAGCATGTGAACCTCACACTACAGGCAGTCTCCCAATGGGGCGATGCCAATCTTGTGAAATTCAACGCCTCCAAAACACTAGCGTGTCTCTTCACTGCAAAAACGCGTCAGCTCACCTTGTCTCCTTCTTTCCGAAATGTAGCACTGGAATACACCGACCGCCTTCAGTTGTTGGGGGTTGAGATATCCTCAAATATGAACTTCGGGCGGTTCATTGAGTCCAAAGCCAAAGCAGCTGCAAGGAAGCTAGGAGTTCTTGCAAAGGTGCGGCGATACTTCACGCCAGGATAGCTGCTTACTTTATATAAAGCGCAAGTCCGTACGTACATGGAGTATTGCCGCCATATGTGGGCTGGAACTGCATAATGCCACCTAGCAGCTTTGGACGACGTTTAAAGGCGTGCTAAGAGACTTATTGGTGACCCAAATTTGGTTAAAACCAATCTTACCAGCCTCGGACACGGGCGTAATGTAGCCAGCCTTTCGGTTTTCTACAGAATTCATTTCGGTGAGTGTGCCCAGGAATTGCATAATTTTATTCCTCCCTCTCCCTTCCAACTTCGGACAACCAGACGTTCGACCAGTCTCGACCCTTTCGTTGAACGAAATGGTTTGCTGTTTCGTTCATCATGCGTCCAGGAAATGAGTGGAATAAGTTGCCAGCATCAGTGTTTCCATCCGATTACAATGTTGGTGTCTTCAAGGCAAGAGTGAATAGCCTTTTGTTAAGTCATTGCGCTTCACCATCTTAGGCTACATCACCACTTACCATCAGGTAGGGTTGTAGTTAACCGCTGGCTTAAAATAATATAAAAAATCTAATTTTGATAATATGAATCTAGCATACTCTATCATTGGCTTAAATATAATATAATATAATTTAGATTATATGACTCTGGCATACTCTTTCATTGGTTTAAATATTGATTTTGCTTATTTTTTTACATGATAGAGTGACAAACGAGCCTACAGTCCACCTGATGGTAAGTGGACTATGTGTCACAGACATCTACATCTATCCTCAATAATGAATCAAAATGCAGATGCGTTGACACCCGTGAGGACTAAGATGGAATGCATCTTTTCCAGTAAAAAGGGTCTCCGGTTCTCTACACTAAACTATACATGGCAATGTTAAGTTACTATTTTACCACAGAATATAAAAAAACAAGTTTTTATTCTATTTTTTTTTAATTCCGTGTATTTTACGCTGGTATTTTGTGAAAGCATGGTCCTTCTCCGGTCGAGACGACACATTCGTGCTAAAACTATAGAACTACTATAGCTGGAGCATGGCTCTATCACGTTGAAAAATTATTATTTAATCTTAATTTTCCATAATATTAAGTGCTTACAACTCAATATCCACCAAAATGTCACATAGTCATTAAAGATTGAAGATTAATATTCATGATGAGACAACAACTAAAAAAATGTGTATTGAATTTCTACACAATTTCTGTTAGTATCTGACATAAATGTGTGTGATTATTTCTTGTGCTAAATATTTAAACAAAATGCTTAAGAGGCGTATTAAAAAAATGCGAAATTACAAGGTTTCCTTTTTGAAATTGTATGTTTATCGTTCGCTGTTTGAAATAACAATTACTTGGTAAAAATAGTTCGTTTTCTCTTCTCAAAACGCATTTTAGATAACTTATTTATATATTCAGTAATAATCATTCTCCCGATGTATGTTTAGGCAAAAACTCTCGAAGACATAATTTGGGAGCTCTAATTTGTAGATTCTATTAAATATCCACCATCAAAAAAATATTTTTATCTTTCAAATATCCTATACTTTAATAATTATAGAATATATTTTCGTTATATGCCTTTCACGATAAGAAATAAAATCGTACATAATTCAAAAAACGACCGAAAAAGCCTCGATACAAGCCTCTATATTTCCGAAGTTCTACATCATTTAGACGTAAAATTTATACCCATATAATCATCAACATTTGTTTAAACTATACTATTATTTTTACTTTTTAAATCGTTACTATTATATTTTAATTAATTAAATAAAAGTACCATATATTTCACTGCGCTGGCCATCCGCGCTCACTACCGCGCGAGCGCTTGTCGAGGTTGCACCTGCGTCAGTTGATTTCGCGCGCTACGTCGTTTCTATACTACCGTAGTGTGTGTCGATTGCTATCGTAGTGTGCGTTGATTGCCTGCGTGCTAGAGCATCGTCAACTATGACCGCGGTTTTTGATCGATCGGTTTAAAACTATTTTATATAGTATAATTTAGATCACGTCTCTTTCATTAAACATGGTAGGGACAGCGAGTCTGTAGCATTGGCACAATTGAGCAAACAAGAAAATATTATTATAGAAAAATGTGGTCTATTCATTGACCTAGATCATTGTTATTTGAGGGCTTCTCACCTAATGGTTTATACATTGACGGTCTTATTGAAGTTAAATGTCCTATTTCAGCTTTCGGAATAGATTTTGACACGGCCTTTCGACTAACAAAAATTAAAGGTTATAAATTCAGTGATTCAAGTGTAACATTAAATCGAAATCATGACTGGTTTTACCAAATCTAAGGCCAGTTTCATTTAGCAAATAAAAATGTCTGAATACTTGCCATAATATGTACTGGCCCAGATTATGCAGTCAAAGTACTAAAATTTACAAAGACGACTAATTTTAGATTTTCAATGTGTTACCCAAGTTACAAGCTTTTTATGAAAAGTGTGTACTGCCTGAAATTATTGACTCGAGAAAAGTTCGGTCAATGCCGTCGCAGCAAATATTTTTCTAATAAAAATTATGGTAATTGACTGTAAGTACCGATTAAAAAAATATTAGTTACATTTGGTTGTTTTATTTATGAAAACAGGTTGCAACCGTACTATTTATTTATTTATACCACTATTCTACCGGTAGTAGACATAATCAATTATTAACATTTATTACGGCGTCACAATTAAAATATTTATGTGTACTTATTTTGACACTAAATTCATAAATAATAAAAAAATATATCAAAATGGTATATAATAATAAATAATAAATTATATAATAATAATATTAATAAATATATTATAATTAATAAGATAACATTTAAATGACACACCAAAAATTTTTGCTTCCACTGAAATCCATCATAAGAAAACTTGTATTATGGAAGATCAAGATCGGTTATCGCCATACTCACAGTATTATAGTGCGAGCGAGTGAATATATATGAAAGAAAGTATCGGTCGCGTAGCTCGCCGCTCGCTCGGTGCGTAAATACCTAAATTTGCGAAACGCCAAAATGTAAGAGGGCTCTTAAGTTGGTATAATCGATGCAAAATTGATTAGTTGTACAAATCCATGCGTAATGAACAAAACCGAACTATAGTAATATATTGTCCCAAAGTGAATAGGTAATAATCTATGACCGAACAATAAGAAACATGAATTGAGCTATTTTTCCATAGCGAATAGCTATATTCTATTCTATTCTATATTCATAGTGCCATAGCGGCTATGTAAGTAGCCATAGGTGTTATAGCCACTATGAATATAGCGCGTTCATGAGCGGCATCGGCAATCGCGGGAACTAGCTCTAGCAGATAGTCTTGCTTGCGTGCGCGCTGATGTGAGCGGAAGATGCGTTACGCTAATTGATCTCGCAGCATGATATTCATCGCGCCCGACCTAATTTAATATTAGACGTTGGTTAATTAGTGTATACTCTTTAAAAATAATAGGTTAGAAGACGGTTTAAAACAAATTAAGTACCTATAATGAGACGCGATAATTTCGATAATAAACCTATAATTGATTTATAATTTACATTAATGTTAAAATAACGTTTACATCAATTATAGACAACCCTAAACCTGAAAAGTATGAAGGAGAGTTTATTGGATTTTCTTTAATGCTTTATTTTATTTTAGACTAAAATGTGATGTATTAATAAATAATATTCTTCTATAGCGCGCAGCGCGCAATCTATCCAACGAACTACATCTAATGTAACGTGCTACGAGATTTAGCATGCTGCAAGAATTTACGCGCATGCCGGCCGCCCACACACTTGCTTATAAATAGCGCGCTTTAGCGTATTTAATAGCATGCTAAAAATTAATAGCTTATAGTCTGTAGCGTGCTATTGATTTATAGCCGTTTCGAACAACTCTAATAATAACTTGCTACAGTACCCACTACCCATGCACAGTACATATTTATTATTTATTTATATATGTTGAGTTGATAATATACGTCATAATTGTTATCATCGTTTTACAATTTTTTTTTCTAAATTGGTATGATAGTACGATGTATAGCGTGTGAAGCAAATTCGACACTCTAGAATATTATATCAAGAATATATACATACACCATACACTTATTCTCGTCCCCGTTTGTGACAGTTGTGCATTTAGTTGTAGGAGTAATATAAATTCCGCTAATTATTTACTCAAAAGTTAAGACCATGAAAGTATATTTGAATAGCCTTAATTTTTTGTTACGCGCTACAAGGTTTAATTATGATGCAAGAATTCGTGAAATTAGGCCAATGTTGGCTATTGAATCGAAGTTTTATAGTGATGTAAGTGTATAGACATTACTTTTAAGATCAGGAGGTATCTAATCTAATTATTGGACAGTGACTTACAATTTATAGTAATTTATTTAATATATGTACCGCAGGTTGCATACCCGACAAATAAATCTGATGCTACTCCAGCGCCGGTGAAATCAGAGGCCCCGCTGAGCGACCTTTTAGGCCGTCGACATGACTACCTACGTATTTCACTCACGGAGCGGTGTAATTTACGATGTAGGCTCATTTCTTACACAACTTTATTGAATAATGAAGAGTTAGCGTATTTAAAAGCTTAACTTCAACACAATCCAGGTCAGTACTGCATGCCAGCTGAAGGAGTTAAACTATCGCCACGGTCAGCTTTGTTGACCCGAGATGAACTGCTTCGTCTGGTCAATGTCTTTGCCAGCTTGGGTGTGCATAAGCTACGGCTCACTGGTGGTGAACCAACATTACACTCTGATTTGGCCGATTTAATTCGTAAGTAAAATATATAAAAGTTGAAAAGTACTTATAACCCTTAAATAACAATTATTCAATTCAAGTAAATAATGCTTGTACGGTCGAAATACTATACATTTATTTTATGCTGACATGGTCAGAACTGCTCCACAGCGAATTACTTATAGTGCAACATTTTCTAATTAAACTTGTGTGTGTGTGTGTGTAATAAACTGCTAAAATAACACATGTGCTTAGTTTACACGCCACTCATACTGTTGTACCATAGTCATAAACTAAGTTTAAACTACATAATAACTATCAAAGAAGCTGTACGAGTTGCAAACTGTGGTCCATACATTTTGCGAAGGTTACTGGGTGTTTTTCAATAAAAGTGTACACTGAGAAATGTATGTAATTTTTTTTTTACTCAAGAGTCAAACATACAGTCCACCAAATGTTAAGTGGCTACTACGGCCTATGGACACTTGCAGTCTACTTCAAACAAAGTAAGCTACCGATGCGTTGTCACCTCCGAGGACTAAGGTGGAGTGTCGCACAGCATGTAATTATACTGACTCTCTCTACCCGTCACACCAGAACACAGCAGCAGCCAAGTAACACTACTTAGATGTATGTGTACACTATATTATATACTATATTTTATACGTGGTAGAGTCATGCTGCAGCTATATTATGGTTGTAGCACGAATGGGTCGGCTCGACCGGGGTAGGACCACGCTCTCACAGAATACCAGCGTAAAATAGCAGCTTAACGCTGCTGTGTTTCATTTGGTGAGTGTAGAGAACTGGAGAGCCTTTTTACTGGAAACGAGGCATTCCATCTTAGTCCTCACGGGTGACAACGCATCTGCATTTTAATTCTTAATCGAGGATAGATGTAGATGTCTATGGGCCACAGCAACCACTTACCATCAGGTGGACTGTGTGCTCGTTTGTCACCCTTATCCTATAAAAAAAAATATATATATATATTAGAGATGGGACGGGTACCCGGTGTGGATCCGGTAACCGGTGGATCCGGCACTTTTTCAGGATCCGGTCGGGTATTGAGTAATGACGCAGGATACCCGATACCCTGCACTGCCGGATAATTAGGTTTAAGATAAAATTTAAAAAAGTTATTTAATTTATTTCAATTTAACAAGAATCAGTAGAAGAATTAATATTCATAATTCAAAAGAGGTAAATTATGGCGAAGAAATACAAGCTGTTCAGCACGATCTGGGTCAAGTCTGTTGCGCTTTTTCTCATAGATATTAGCAGGCTCCGAAAAGAGGCATTCACTATATAAGGAGCTGGTGGGAGTGGTTAAATATCTAATCGCGAGACTCTTTATAATAGGGTAGTGACACTTGACCGCCAGTCGCGCCCAAACAGGGAAGTGGAATATTCGTCTTTTCATGCCAGATAATTTTTCCACGTACCCGGCTACCCGGCATAAGCTTGCACTGGGTACACGGTTGCCAGGTAACCGGCAAAAGTAGGATCCGGTGCATCTCTAATATATATACTAGCTCGCCAGGCAGACGTTGTTCTGCCCTTTCTGACGACCCTTCCTATAAAAATCCTTAAATTCGCAATAAAAAATTTTGAGGGTCATTTATCAGGATAAAAACTATCCTATCTATCAAGTTGGACCAAAATGCACACAGTGTGCAAGATTTAATTGAAATCAGTTCAGTAGTTTAGGAGTTCATCGTGGACAAACAATGTGATATGTAATTTTTATATATAAAGATATACCAAGTAACACTGTTATTTACAGTGAACCTTTAATTACTATGGCCATGTAGTTTGTGAATAGTAATGCAAGTGGACATTGTTTTAGTTATACATGTTGGTTCAGGTATTCATTGTTGTGGGGTATGTGACCATGTAATGTTTAGACAATGATCACGGGGGGGGGATATTCCCTTATTATAATATATAAGATATTAAATTAAAAATGAGTGATAACAGTTAAATTAACCACAATAAAATCCATAAAGTTACTTTTATTCAATGTCTAACATTTATTTATTTATTCTTTTTTGCATTCCCTATTACAAAAGAATACTAATGGTGGACTTAATGCCATGAGGCATTCTCTACCAGTCACCGCATTACAGTAAATATAAGAAATCATAGTACCACACAATACTATGTAGGTAGGAGAAAGATAAACATTCCAAAAATTATATTATATTGCTAATTGTGGTTGAAGCACGGAACAAGCTGCCATCAGAAGTGATATCTGCACAAACCGTTAACCATTTCAGGAATAGATTGGATAAACAACTAAAATAGAACAATTACACCTTTGAAACTAGGATATGACTTATATCAGTTGTTTTAACTGCCTGCATGTTAAATAATAATAATAAAGCCCTCCCTAGACTTGTTTAGTTTTACAGTGATTTATTGGTAGCTGTATTTGTTTTACCGTGTAGTGGTGGTGTAAGAATATCCACTACCCTATATCGTCCTATGGATGTCGTAAAAGGCGACAGCGGGAAACAAATCAGGAAATGCAGCAGTGTGTTCCTCATCATTACAGCCCTTCACAAGTCCACTGCTAAATATAGGCCTCCCCCAAGGAATGCCACAAAGCACGGTCCTGAGCCACCTGCATCCATCGATTTCCTGCACATCTCACCAGGTCGTCACTCCATCTAGTGGGGGGACGCCCAACACTTCGCCTGCCGGTACGAGGCTGCCACTCGAGAACCTTTTTTCCCCATCGGTTGTCGGTTCTTCGAGCTATATGGCCGGCCCACTGCCACTTCAGCTAACTAATCCGTTGGGCTATGTCGGTCACTCTGGTTCTACTGCGGATATCCTCATTTCTGAGTTTATCACGCAGAGAAACTCCGAGCATAGCCCTCTCCATAGCTCGCTGAGCGACCTTGAGCTTCCTCATCCGGCCAGCAGTGAAGGACCACGTCTCAGTTCCGTATGTCATCACTGGCGACACGCACTGGTTGTACAGTCTCGTTTTCAAGTTTTGAGGTATACCTGACGAGAAGATGTGCCGTAATTTCCCGAACGCTGCCCAACCGAGTTGAATCCGTCGACTGACCTCTCGGTCGAAGTTGGACTTACCTAGTCGGACTATTTGTCCCAGGTAAACATACTCGTCAACAACTTCGAACTTAGTGCTCCCAACAACTACCGGCATAGGTGTGACATGGACATTAAACATGATCTTTGTTTTGTCCATGTTCATCTTAAGACCTATCCGTTGGGAAGCACTATTGAGGTCATTGAGCATAGTGCTTAGGTCCTCCAGCGATTCTGCCATAAGGACTATATCGTCGGCAAATCGAAGGTGAGTGATGTACTCGCCATTGATGTAGATACCGTATCCTTTCCAGTCCAGAAGCTTGAAAACGTCTTCCAATGCAGCGGTGAAGACTTTCGGGGATATGACGTCACCCTGTCTTACACCTCTCTGCAATTGGATAGGTTTCGTACTCTGGTTCTGTACTCAGATAGCCATCGTAGCTCTGCTGTACAAGCACTTCAGCACTTCGATATACCGACAGTCAACTTGGCACCGCTGAAGGGACTGCAGCACCGCCCAAATTTCGACGGAATCAAAGGCTTTCTCATAGTCCACATACGCCAGACATAGTGGCAAATTGTACACCTCGGACTTCTGTACAATTTGCCGAAGGGTATGTATGTGGTCTATGGTGCTAAAGCCTTTTCGGAAACCGGCTTGTTCGGGAGGCTGGAAGTCGTCAAGTCTGCGCGCGAGACGATTCGTAATGACTCTCGAAAACAGCACGTAGACGCGTCTAAGAAGGGAAATCGGTCTGTAGTTCTTCAAGAGAGCGTTATCGCCTTTCTTGAAGAACAAGACCACCGCACTTTTGCTCCACGCCTCCGGTGTAATGCCACCATGGAGGACAGAATTAAAGAGCTTCTGAAGGACTTCAAGTACCGGTTTCCCACCCGCTTTCAGAAGCTCCGCTGTAATTCCATCCTCGCCTGGGGCCTTGCCGTTTTTAAGATGCTGGAGAGCCATTCTAATCTCGCTCAGACTGACGTCCGGGATATCTTCGGAATAGTGTCGGATAAGACTCGCTCTTGGATCGTTTATTGTGGCTCCAACGATGACGTGTACAGCTGCCCGTAGAACCTCTCAATCTCACTCAAAATCTCAGGTGCGCCGGAAACGATGCTGCCACATTCTGTCTTCAGCTTTGACAGTTGGCTCTTTCTGGCAGACAGACCTCTGGCAAAGACTGGAGCCTTGGTTCTGCTCGATCGCTTCTTCAATACGAGCTGTATTGAAGTTGCGTAAGTCCCGCCGCATGCATTTGGAGATCTGTCTGTTCAGTTGCCTGTATGCTGTCAAATCTGTTGAAGAATTTAGCTTCAACTCCCGTCTAACAACCATGAGATTAAGAGTGTGATCGGAGAGTTTTTGTGTTCTTCTGCGGCGGATCTTGCAGAAATTAGCTCCGACCGCATGGACAGTTTCCACGAGCTTGTCATTCATATCGTCCACTTCATTGCAGTCTTCTAGGCACTGAAAACGGTTTCGTAACTCGAGCTCAAAGGTTTCGGGACTTTGGATTAGAGCATGAGGGGGACGGAGCGTTGACTTCATTAGACGAGACGAGATTAACGTTTAGGTTTAGTGTGCTTCTAACCATTCGGTGATCGCTGCCGGTTTTCACCCTCGCGATCACTGAGACATCACTGAACAGTTGTCTTCTGGTCGTCATAATGAAGTCAATCTCATTTTTTGTCGAACCGTCGGGGCTCGACCAGGTCCACTTCCTGTGGGGCCGCATCTGGAAGATAGAGTTCATCATAAAGAGTCCCTCTTTCTCCATGAAGTCGGCCAGCTGCTGGCCCCTTGGGTTCCGTTGCCCTATCCCAAATTTCCCTACTTTCAGCTCACCATTCTCTCTTGTGCCTAGTTTTGCATTGAAGTCTCCCATTAACACCGTATATTGGGTTTTGGAGGAATGCATGGCTCTAGAGATATCCTCATACATTTCCTCCACCTCATCATCGGGGTGTGCCGAGGTTGGTGCGTAAACCTGTATGACCTTCAGCGAATACCGTTTGGTGATTCTGAGTATAAGGTACGCAACCCTCGTCGACACACTCTCAATCTTTACAACGTTGTTAACGAGAGACTTGTGGACGATAAATCCGACACCTCCTTGGGACAGATGGTCGCCCTCCCGGTAATAGAACCAGTTGCCGGATTCGAGGATTACCGTTTCCTCCCCCTCTCTTCGGACTTCGGATAATCCTATAATATGCCAGCGTAACTTGTCTATCTTTTCTGTGTGTTCCTAATAACAACTAAAAATTAAAAAAACCGACTCGCCAAGTGTAGCAAATATGACAAATACCCTTATGAGACAATCTGTGGGTAAGGCCTTTGTTCAGCAGTAGACTTTAATAGTAGTAATAGCTGTAACGGTATTGTTAACAGCAGTTGTCAGGCAGCCTTTGCAGAAATTGATTTGTGTGTGTGTGCATTTGTCAGAGAGGCTGTACAGCATCCCGGGCATCCGCACGGTGGGCATGACGACGAACGGGCTGGTGCTGACGCGGCGGCTGCCCGCGCTGAAGCGCGCCGGGCTCGCGGCGCTCAACGTGTCGCTCGACTCGCTGCGGCCCGACCGCTTCGAGCGCATGGCGCGCCGCCCGGTGCGCACACACGCACTAGCACGTACACACGCACGCACACACGCACACACACATGCACACACGCTCGGCTCGCTGCGGCCCGACCGCTTCGAGCGCATGGCGCGCCGCCCGGTGCGCACACACGCACTAGCACGTACACACGCACGCACACACGCACACACATATGCACACACGCTCGGCTCGCTGCGGCCCGACCGCTTCGAGCGCATGGCGCGCTGCCCGGTGCGCACACACGCACTAGCACGTACACACGCACGCACACACGCACACACCCTCGGCTCGCTGCGGCCCGACCGCTTCGAGCGCATGGCGCGCCGCCCGGTGCGCACACACGCACTAGCACGTACACACGCACGCACACACGCACACACATATGCACACACGCTCGGCTCGCTGCGGCCCGACCGCTTCGAGCGCATGGCGCGCTGCCCGGTGCGCACACACGCACTAGCACGTACACACGCACGCACACACGCACACACCCTCGGCTCGCTGCGGCCCGACCGCTTCGAGCGCATGGCGCGCCGCCCGGTGCGCACACACGCACTAGCACGTACACACGCACGCACACACGCACACACCCTCGGCTCGCTGCGGCCCGACCGCTTCGAGCGCATGGCGCGCCGCCCGGTGCGCACACACGCACTAGCACGTACACACGCACGCACACACGCACACACACATGCACACACGCTCGGCTCGCTGCGGCCCGACCGCTTCGAGCGCATGGCGCGCCGCCCGGTGCGCACACACGCACTAGCACGTACACACGCACGCACACACGCACACACGCACACACACATGCACACACGCTTGGCTCGCTGCGGCCCGACCGCTTCGAGCGCATGGCGCGCCGCCCGGTGCGCACACACGCACTAGCACGTACACACGCACGCACACACGCACACACACATGCACACACGCTTGGCTCGCTGCGGCCCGACCGCTTCGAGCGCATGGCGCGCCGCCCGGTGCGCACACACGCACTAGCACGTACACACGCACGCACACACGCACACACACATGCACACACGCTCGGCTCGCTGCGGCCCAACCGCTTCGAGCGCATGGCGCGCCGCCCGGTGCGCACACACGCACTAGCACGTACACACGCACGCACACACGCACACACACATGCACACACGCTTGGCTCGCTGCGGCCCGACCGCTTCGAGCGCATGGCGCGCCGCCCGGTGCGCACACACGCACTAGCACGTACACACGCACGCACACACGCACACACACATGCACACACGCTCGGCTCGCTGCGGCCCGACCGCTTCGAGCGCATGGCGCGCCGCCCGGTGCGCACACACGCACTAGCACGTACACACGCACGCACACACGCACACACACATGCACACACGCTCGGCTCGCTGCGGCCCGACCGCTTCGAGCGCATGGCGCGCCGCCCGGTGCGCACACACGCACTAGCACGTACACACGCACGCACACACGCACACACACATGCACACACGCTTGGCTCGCTGCGGCCCGACCGCTTCGAGCGCATGGCGCGCCGCCCGGTGCGCACACACGCACTAGCACGTACACACGCACGCACACACGCACACACACATGCACACACGCTCGGCTCGCTGCGGCCCGACCGCTTCGAGCGCATGGCGCGCCGCCCGGTGCGCACACACGCACTAGCACGTACACACGCACGCACACACGCACACACACATGCACACACGCTTGGCTCGCTGCGGCCCGACCGCTTCGAGCGCATGGCGCGCCGCCCGGTGCGCACACACGCACTAGCACGTACACACGCACGCACACACGCACACACACATGCACACACGCTCGGCTCGCTGCGGCCCGACCGCTTCGAGCGCATGGCGCGCCGCTCGGTGCGCACACACGCACTAGCACGTACACACGCACGCACACACGCACACACACATGCACACACGCTCGGCTCGCTGCGGCCCGACCGCTTCGAGCGCATGGCGCGCCGCCCGGTGCGCACACACGCACTAGCACGTACACACGCACGCACACACGCACACACACATGCACACACGCTTGGCTCGCTGCGGCCCGACCGCTTCGAGCGCATGGCGCGCCGCCCGGTGCGCACACACGCACTAGCACGTACACACGCACGCACACACGCACACACACATGCACACACGCTCGGCTCGCTGCGGCCCGACCGCTTCGAGCGCATGGCGCGCCGCCCGGTGCGCACACACGCACTAGCACTTACACACGCACGCACACACGCACACAGGCACGCACGCACTCACGCAAGCACGTATGCACTCACGCGCGCACACATGCACTAGCACGCATGCTCGCACATGCACGAACGCACACACCCACGCACGCGCGCTCACTACTGTAGTCATCCCTTTGCTGTCGATATTTTACGCATTCGAACCAAATAGTTTGCTTTGTCCAATTACTTCTATATGCACTAAACTGGCTCTTCGGACTGAATTGTAACTAGTATATTAACTTCTTTAGTCGACTGGGAGACGGTGAGAAGACAAGTTGTTTGTTTTGGAAACCGCGAACAATATTTACGACAATCTAACACTGATTTTGTTTAATGTGGCTAAGAAAATGCTATCATTAATTATGTGCGCACTTTATCAACGTGATTTTGAGTTTATTTCAGATAGTAAATAACTTTATTTTTAATAGCGGTAGAGCCACACGACAGCTTTTACTGTCGCCCGCATGGGCCGGCTCGAACCAGGGTTTTACCACGATCTCACAGAATATCAGCGTGAAGTAAAAGTTTAGTTCTGTGTTTTGTCTGGTAAGTGCAGGTGATTCCCGTTTAACCGAGCATGCGGGTAGATCTGTTTATGACTGCCTTGGCAAATGGTCTGACACAACTGTCTGTCTGCTTGGTCTGGTTACATCGCCTACGCGAACCCTAGATACGGAGGATCATTAATCTTCCCCGTTGGACCTTCTGAGCTCTCATCCGAACGAATATCAGGTCTCCGTCGATGACCCTCTTGGCTCTTTGGACCATTGTCTGATCTGGAGTACGGTGCCACTCATGCTACCATCGCTGTTGCGTGCTGCAGGTTGCCGACGTGTTTGGCTCTATAGGACGGCCGATTGGGACGGGATGCGGTCTTTTTTACATCCTACCCTTGGGTTTGCTTTTCGCCGAATGATCCTAACGTTGTTGCTGATTCTGTCGCTGATGTGGTACTTCAGGGTATGGAACTATTTATTCCATCATCTGTGGTACCTATCGGAGACAGATCGCAGCCATGGTTTGGTCACTCCTATAAAATAGCATCACGCCATAAGCAGGAGTGTTACAGGGCCTGGGCTGACGCATTAACGTCTCGGGATGCAATCACCAGCGCTCTTAAAAAGAAGTATAATTCCGCATCAAGATTCTTCAAAAGTGTCATTGCAAAGGCTAAGTCAGAGCACATCGACAGAATTTGCGAGAAAGTTCGACTTCCTTCGGGAACACGTGCTTTCTAGTTTCTCAAAGGCTCTCCAAGGCTGTCCAAGGGAACTTCTGTCAGCTATCTCTGCACAGGGAGGACGACTCACTGGTACCATGCCGCAAAGGAGAAAGCTGATCTGCTAGGCTCTCTCTTTGTTTCTAACTCGACTCTCGATGATGGGGAGAACACACCGCCAACCATCCCGCGGTGTGAGTACTCCATCCAAGATGTGCTGTTTACACAGGTTTCGGTGCGCAAAGCATACCTCTCCCCGGATGTCAACAAGTCGAGTAGGCCTGATGGAGTCCCACCTATTGTGCTGAAGACGTGTGCTCCGGAGTGGGCTTCGGTTTTAACGAGTCTCTCTCTCACTCTCTAGACGTTGTCCCGAACTCATGGAAGAAAGCCTTGGTGCACCCAAACCCTAAAAAAGGCGCTCAGATCCGGCCCACTACATGCCTATCGCTATTAACTCCTTGTTCTCCAAGATAATGAAAACTATTATTAACTGCCAGCTTATGAGGTACCTTGAGGATCGCCAGCTAATTGGTGACCGGTTTCCGTACTGGCGGTCGGGGTCGCTCAGCCGGTGATCTTCTTGCCTATCAACCCTGGTGTTCCACAAGGCAGCGTGCTATCACCATCGCAGTTTATTCTGCATATCAATTATATGTTGCTAGCCGGTAAGATGCATTGCTATCCGGGTGACAGCACTAGTGATGCTTTATACACCGACCGTGCCAATATTTCTCGAGAAAAGGTCGCCGAGTACCGGAACAAACCTGTGTCTGAAGTCGAGACTTTGTTGAACAAAGTCTCAGACTAGGGGCGACTAAATATAGTCCAGTTCAATCCCAAGAAGACACAAGTTTGCGCGTTTACCGGTAAGAAGAACCCCTTTGTCGTATCTTTTCAGTTTCAAGGCACTCCCCTTGTTGCTTCAGCCAGTATCGGAATCCTCGGTGTCAACATATCGAGTGACGTGCAGTTTCGTGGTCACTTGGAAGAGAAGGCTAAACTGGCCTCTAAAAGCTTGGCGTGCTCAGCAGAGCGGAACAGTATTTCATACCGGCACACCGCTTGCAACTTTCAAGGCAGGTTCGACCTCACATGGAATACTGTTCCCATCTCTGGGCCGGGGATCCCCAGTGCCATCTCCTTCCACTTGACCGCATCCAGCGCAGAGCGGTTCGAATTGTCGACGACCGAGTTCTTTCTGATCGGCTTGACTCACTGGTACTGCGTAAAAATGTTGCATCCCTTTGCGTATTTTATCGCGTCTATCACGGGGAGTGCTCTGAGAAGTGCGCTTAATTTCACTATTGCACATCGCGACAAAACTCGCAATACCATCCATACCATCTGGATGATTGGCGTATGATTAGATTTTACCACTGTGCTATTTACAAAAATTTTTCTTCCTCGCACAACTTTCTTGCGGAATCGACTTCCCCTGGTGTTGCAGTTGTTCATGTGCGGCGGTAGCACTTACGATCAGGTGAGGCAAATGCGCGTTTGCCCCCATCCTATAAAAAAATCGTACAATAATTGTCGTAAATGAAAGTACAACTGCGCTGCGTGACATATTTAATATACCAGCTACCCGCTCAGTCGGCGCCCACGTAATCTCTAACTGTTACACAGTTTTTGTTCTAAATTGTCGTTCCAGTAATATACATAGAAGTCTTTGGCTTCATCTTTTGTGACGTGTACGGCAAAGGAAAGGAATCATTTGCCGCCATCTATCTTTCCGTCCGATTACAATATTGATGTCTTCAAGGCAAGAGTGAATAGGCTTTTATTACGCTGAAACAGTGCCATTTACTATATAGAACTTCATCACCACTTACCCCCAGGTGGAATTGTAGTCAATCGTTGGCTATTAAGTAAAAAATACCCTCGCTCTCTTAACCCTCAAACCTGATCACGGCATTGATAAGCTGGTAGCACTAAGCCCGACGCCCTATCATATTATAAAAATTCTCCCATTATAAAAACTTCCAATTTTTAATAAAATTTTGATCCGTCAAGGATATATTAATGCGCTATGTTTTTATCACATACACTCTAATCTAAAGTAAAACAAATTAGAATACATTTACATAATGCCAACTTAAAATGCTTATTAACAAGATAACAATAACAAGTTACCCAGTCTACTAGCTAGATAAATATTTATTTAATTTTATACGTGGTAGAACCACGCTGCAGCTATATTATGGTTGTAGTACAAATGGGTTGGCTCGAGGAAAGACCACGCCCTAATAACGCCACACCCGCGTAAAATAGCAGCTTTACGCTTCAATGTTTCGTATGGTGAGTGTAGAGAACAGGAGACCCTTTTTACTGGATACGAGGCATTCCATCTTAGTCCTCATGGGTGACAACGCCATCAGATCACTGGGTACCATCAGATGGAATGTGTGCTCCTTTGTCACCCTAATTCTATGAAAAATAAATTGTGAAGTATTTTATAAAAAAACATAATCTTTGAAATTCATATTTTAAAAATATTTTAGTGCCGAAAGGGGACTCCACGGTCGCCCTTCCTGACTGCTTTAACGACTGCCATTTGCCTCTGTTAGATCCGCTACCGACCCTTTGGACTATTGTGAATCTTTGACGTACTCACTTCTCATCCATGGATATTATAATATGGAAATCCGATTACAAGTGCTTTACTGCGTCTCATAGGACTGTACCTATGGCTAACCCAGACTACCTACAACCTTTAATTATTTATTTGTAGTGTGATTTGAGCTTACGACAGTGTCTTCAATTCTGAATATGCTTGAGTTTGGTTTTTATGTTAATAATTATAGCATCCAGCCATCTTTTCTATTGAACTTGAACTCTTTTAACTTTCGTAGCTATATAAATCAGCCTTCGACTAAATTTCGGTTTCGAAGAAATAGGTATTATTTTGCAATAATTTATATTCTATTAAATCTAACGTTGGCCGTGTAGTGGCGGTGTATGTATGTCTACTGCTCCATATCGTCTTGTAGGTGTCATAAGAGGCGACAGAGGGAAACAAACCAGGCGATGGGCAAAAGCATTTCCTCTGCCGCCTAGTCTACGTCTCATATGTTAGTATGTCTGGTTGGGTGGTTCTAAACCGCTTGTGAGTCGAGAGAATCCATTCCAATAAACTGCTCTCCGGTTCTCACACACACACACCATGCAAAACAAAACAGTATTATGCTGCTATTACACGTTGGTTTTTATTGCGAGTATTTACCCCGTGATTCGCGCTGTAGCATGGCTCTACCACCTATGAATATATTTGACTTGGTATAAAGAGACCATCTACTACTTCAAGAGGCAACATATAAATTGAACAGTAATTGAGGTGTACGTTATCCACATAAATTATGTAATTCTAATCCAGTTGTATTTCAATCAGGGACTAGCGCGAGTACTCGCCGGTATAGACTTAGCGCTGCAGCTGGGATACCGTCCAGTTAAAGTTAACACCGTGCTCATGCGAGGTGTGAACTTTTGCCTAAGTATTATGTTTTGTCGCCCCGTGCTTATTCATATTTTACGAATCCCTTTCAGGGTTCAACGACGATGAGATATGCGACTTCGTAGAGTACACTCGCGATCGAGAGGTCGAAGTCAGGTGAGTGTAGTAATATGCAAGTTCAAATTAAATATCATTACGTTAAAGGAAGAGTCTCTCTTACTTTTTGTCACAAACATGACATTTGAGGAATTCAAACAAGAGGTCCAAGTTAGGCGAGTTTAGTAATATTCAGGTTTAAGTTAAGTACAACATTGTAATATCAAAGAAAGAAAGGTTCTTATACTTTCTTGTCACAAACATTACATTTGGGAAATCAAAACCAGATGAGCGACAAACAAAAAGGAGTTGACTTTACTGTGATTTTAAATAGTAATTATACCTTATAATCGTGCTTTTTGTATTAAAATAGTCGCAATCTCAAACCCGACTGCCAGATAATGTAACTCAATTTTCAGATATTGATTGAGTTAGTGGTATCGGTAGCTGAAAATCTAGTTCTGGAAGGTCCTACTACTAAAGTACTAGAACGGAGGACGAAACATAAATACGATATTGTAATAAGGCTGCTCCATCTGCTGATAGGTCAAGGTCAAGGTCGCTCAGCGAGCTATGGAGTGGACTACGCTCTGGGTAGACTTAAAAACGAGGATATCCGCAGCAGGAAAGAAAGTTTCTCGAGTGGCAGCCTCGTACCGGCAGATGTAGGGCGTCCCCCCCACCCCACCCACTAGATGTAGTGACAACCTGGTAAGACATGCAGAAAGTCATGGCTGTGCTTTGTGGCATTCCTTGGGGGAGGCCTATGTTCAGCAGGCATGATGATTCACGAACTGATATATTTTTTTAACGAAAGGACAATCACTGTTTGTAAATTGTTTTTGGTACTGTAAAGACCGTAGTTGATCTGAGACTGACTTTATTTTCTGTCCCACATGCATAACATAAAAAATAAATATTCAAACCACCCATAATTCTCTTCTCAAAAAAAATATCAAAATCATAAATTCATTAAAAAAAAACTAGAGCTTGCGAAATGTTTTGCCGGGTCAGTTTCGACAGAGTGCGAGTGTCTGAATGTTTGCGGTGTGCAGGTTTATCGAATTCATGCCATTCTCGGGCAACGAGTGGGGCGAGCGGAAGATGGTGGCGCACCGCGAGGCGCTGCAGGCCGTGCGCGCGCGCTTCCCGCGCCTCGCGCCCGTCGTCACACGCGCCTGCGACACCGCCGTGGTCAGTGTGCATCACACCACCCCTCACAATATCTCTCACGTCACCCCTCACACTACCCATCATACCACCCTTCACACCATCCTTCTAACCACCCCACACACCACCCTCAATACTAACCTACTGGACGTGCGTCTTTCAACACTACACGTTGCGCACCTCGCACACCACCTCAGCGGTGTGGGTTTACCTTCATTCAAACAAAGGTCACAAACAAATTCACAATCCATCTTATAGTCCACAGAAACTGCATATAACCTTAATTTAAAATCACAATAAAGACACATCGACATCCCTCAAAACTAAAATGGAATGTCCGGTTCAATACCCGAACATTCTTTGGTCTGGTCCTTCGAGCCGGATATGAAATCGCGACCTATGGGTGTGTAGACCTGTGCATGGATCCGACTCGAAAGACCAAGGATGAGACCTTATTTCTATTAAATTCACTAATCATTTATAAAATTTATTTTAAAACCATTTATTATAAATGTAAAAAGATATATAAATGTTGCTAAATGTTAATGTTACATATGTTGTATGCGGCCCTCCATGTAGTGCGGGACCCTATTCGATAGAGTAACTAACTTGGTAAAATATGCAGAAAACTGATGAATTTAGATGGCATTCTTTGGGGAGACCCTATGTTCAGCAGTAGACTTGTGAAGGGCTGTAATAATATTGATTATGTACTCAATGCTTGCATCGTGCAACTTGATTTGATTTCGTATATTAGAATTAGAATATAGTAATTTTTAGAGATAGCTAGTATTCCATTAATGTTACTTATTTGTTATAACTTCTAAATATTTGTACACCACACTGTGGTAGAATACACGATACCTAATGTAAATTTTACGAACACCTAACTTACTGTATTCACAAATAAATAAATGAATTTGAATGAAATTTGAATATACACACTGTACTTAAAAGGTATTATAAAGCGATTGTGTCCAGCTACTGTTTGCGAGTTTTGCTCTATTGCTCTAATTCAGGTTATTGTTTATATCCTATTTACACAGGTTTTCCAAGTGGAGGGTTACTTAGGACGCGTGGGCTTCATCTCATCGATGACGCAGCCATTCTGCGCTTCCTGTAATCGGTTGCGGCTCACGGCAGATGGAAACCTTAAGGTACTTATGAGTATTGTCTCACCTTACTTTAGTGACAACACACTTCGTTTCAGAGTACACTCTCATGTCACTGTATTTAGTACCCATGTGTCACTGAGAGCGTCCGGTCTGTTGCATTAATATTATTACAATTGAAATATAACAATAAACATTACTTAATAAAAACATATTAACTCGAGGAGAGTTGCTGAATGTATAGCCAGAAGCCAGAACCAGCATATTTATTGAGTTAACCATGTCTAGTATTCAGTTTGTTCAGTTATACTGGTGATAATTGCAAAATGTGTATAAAGAGAAGACAGTGTTTTGGCCACGAAGGAGAAAGGTATGTTTTGTTACAGAATCACTAAATGTAGATGTATAATCTTAATAAAGTTTTAGCAGAAAGATCCTAAAGTAAACCTGTACAAGAACTAGATCTTATGTTACTCTCATGTCACACAAGTAATGGTATGGCCGGTTGCCTTCTACAGGTTAGTCAGGAGTAAATTTTGTTTTTTTTTCTTTATAACTGTGGAGGGAAAAAGGCTTTTGCTGTGCGCACTTTTACGAAAACAATCGTTCGTACATACGTGTTAGACGTTTATTTCAAATTGAGTACCAATTGCACAATGTAAGACAGTGTCCAAGTGTCATTGATTATGCATTGGATAAACACCTGAAGTGACCAACCGGTGATGCCTCGTCGCCGCCCAGGTCGTGCACGAACAGTTCGGATCGAAGAAAGAGTACAGGTAGTTTATGAGTCAGTACACGCTAATTCGAGTCTCTCAACTCGCAAAGGTGCAACAACATTAGCTATGCCCCGCCGTATGACTTGCAGAGAATTTTATCTTTGGATTTAAATCATAAACATTTAAAGTATAAAATACAACTCGTCCAAAAATTAAATGAAAATGATTTGGTTAGAAGGTTGGATTTTACGTCTGAAATGTTCGAGCAGTTCCATAGCTTCAATAACAAAATAACAAGTATTCTCGGCCTCGCAGTCGACTAAAGGAGTTACGGAGAATTAAGCGTAACTTAGTGAGCAAGTATTAGTCGGTATACACAGAGTTCTCTGCTCGTTTTGCCCGCTGGCGAACGTGCGTACGTACGTTTGTATGCGTTTGTGTACGTGTGAATGTGCATGTGTGCGGTGACGTGACGTGTTGTGTGTGCGTGCAGGTGTGCCTGCTGGGCGCGGCCGAGGTGTCGCTGGCGGCGGCGCTGCGTACGTGTGCGTGTGCGGTGATGCGACGTAGTGTGGGTGTGTGCGTGTGTGCGGTGACGTGACGTGTTGTGTGTGCGTGCAGGTGTGCCTGCTGGGCGCGGCCGAGGTGTCGCTGGCGGCGGCGCTGCGTACGTGTGCGTGTGCGGTGATGCGACGTAGTGTGGGTGTGTGCGTGTGTGCGGTGACGTGACGTGTTGTGTGTGCGTGCAGGTGTGCCTGCTGGGCGCGGCCGAGGTGTCGCTGGCGGCGGCGCTGCGTACGTGTGCGTGTGCGGTGATGCGACGTAGTGTGGGTGTGTGCGTGTGTGCGGTGACGTGACGTGTTGTGTGTGCGTGCAGGTGTGCCTGCTGGGCGCGGCCGAGGTGTCGCTGGCGGCGGCGCTGCGTACGTGTGCGTGTGCGGTGATGCGACGTAGTGTGGGTGTGTGCGTGTGTGCGGTGACGTGACGTGTTGTGTGTGCGTGCAGGTGTGCCTGCTGGGCGCGGCCGAGGTGTCGCTGGCGGCGGCGCTGCGTACGTGTGCGTGTGCGGTGATGCGACGTAGTGTGGGTGTGTGCGTGTGTGCGGTGACGTGACGTGTTGTGTGTGCGTGCAGGTGTGCCTGCTGGGCGCGGCCGAGGTGTCGCTGGCGGCGGCGCTGCGTACGTGTGCGTGTGCGGTGATGCGACGTAGTGTGGGTGTGTGCGTGTGTGCGGTGACGTGACGTGTTGTGTGTGCGTGCAGGTGTGCCTGCTGGGCGCGGCCGAGGTGTCGCTGGCGGCGGCGCTGCGTACGTGTGCGTGTGCGGTGATGCGACGTAGTGTGGGTGTGTGCGTGTGTGCGGTGACGTGACGTGTTGTGTGTGCGTGCAGGTGTGCCTGCTGGGCGTGGCCGAGGTGTCGCTGGCGGCGGCGCTGCGTACGTGTGCGTGTGCGGTGATGCGACGTAGTGTGGGTGTGTGCGTGTGTGCGGTGACGTGACGTGTTGTGTGTGCGTGCAGGTGTGCCTGCTGGGCGTGGCCGAGGTGTCGCTGGCGGCGGCGCTGCGTACGTGTGCGTGTGCGGTGATGCGACGTAGTGTGGGTGTGTGCGTGTGTGCGGTGACGTGACGTGTTGTGTGTGCGTGCAGGTGTGCCTGCTGGGCGCGGCCGAGGTGTCGCTGGCGGCGGCGCTGCGTACGTGTGCGTGTGCGGTGATGCGACGTAGTGTGGGTGTGTGCGTGTGTGCGGTGACGTGACGTGTTGTGTGTGCGTGCAGGTGTGCTTGCTGGGCGTGGCCGAGGTGTCGCTGGCGGCGGCGCTGCGTACGTGTGCGTGTGCGGTGATGCGACGTAGTGTGGGTGTGTGCGTGTGTGCGGTGACGTGACGTGTTGTGTGTGCGTGCAGGTGTGCCTGCTGGGCGTGGCCGAGGTGTCGCTGGCGGCGGCGCTGCGTACGTGTGCGTGTGCGGTGATGCGACGTAGTGTGGGTGTGTGCGTGTGTGCGGTGACGTGACGTGTTGTGTGTGCGTGCAGGTGTGCCTGCTGGGCGTGGCCGAGGTGTCGCTGGCGGCGGCGCTGCGTACGTGTGCGTGTGCGGTGATGCGACGTAGTGTGGGTGTGTGCGTGTGTGCGGTGACGTGACGTGTTGTGTGTGCGTGCAGGTGTGCCTGCTGGGCGCGGCCGAGGTGTCGCTGGCGGCGGCGCTGCGTACGTGTGCGTGTGCGGTGATGCGACGTAGTGTGGGTGTGTGCGTGTGTGCGGTGACGTGACGTGTTGTGTGTGCGTGCAGGTGTGCCTGCTGGGCGTGGCCGAGGTGTCGCTGGCGGCGGCGCTGCGTACGTGTGCGTGTGCGGTGATGCGACGTAGTGTGGGTGTGTGCGTGTGTGCGGTGACGTGACGTGTTGTGTGTGCGTGCAGGTGTGCCAGCTGGGCGTGGCCGAGGTGTCGCTGGCGGCGGCGCTGCGTACGTGTGCGTGTGCGGTGATGCGACGTAGTGTGGGTGTGTGCGTGTGTGCGGTGACGTGACGTGTTGTGTGTGCGTGCAGGTGTGCCTGCTGGGCGCGGCCGAGGTGTCGCTGGCGGCGGCGCTGCGTACGTGTGCGTGTGCGGTGATGCGACGTAGTGTGGGTGTGTGCGTGTGTGCGGTGACGTGACGTGTTGTGTGTGCGTGCAGGTGTGCCTGCTGGGCGTGGCCGAGGTGTCGCTGGCGGCGGCGCTGCGTACGTGTGCGTGTGCGGTGATGCGACGTAGTGTGGGTGTGTGCGTGTGTGCGGTGACGTGACGTGTTGTGTGTGCGTGCAGGTGTGCCTGCTGGGCGTGGCCGAGGTGTCGCTGGCGGCGGCGCTGCGTACGTGTGCGTGTGCGGTGATGCGACGTAGTGTGGGTGTGTGCGTGTGTGCGGTGACGTGACGTGTTGTGTGTGCGTGCAGGTGTGCCTGCTGGGCGCGGCCGAGGTGTCGCTGGCGGCGGCGCTGCGTACGTGTGCGTGTGCGGTGATGCGACGTAGTGTGGGTGTGTGCGTGTGTGCGGTGACGTGACGTGTTGTGTGTGCGTGCAGGTGTGCCTGCTGGGCGCGGCCGAGGTGTCGCTGGCGGCGGCGCTGCGTACGTGTGCGTGTGTGCGGTGACGTGACGTGTTGTGTGTGCGTGCAGGTGTGCCTGCTGGGCGCGGCCGAGGTGTCGCTGGCGGCGGCGCTGCGTACGTGTGCGTGTGCGGTGATGCGACGTAGTGTGGGTGTGTGCGTGTGTGCGGTGACGTGACGTGTTGTGTGTGCGTGCAGGTGTGCCTGCTGGGCGCGGCCGAGGTGTCGCTGGCGGCGGCGCTGCGTACGTGTGCGTGGACGGTGATGCGACGTAGTGTGGGTGTGTGCGTGTGTGCGGTGACGTGACGTGTTGTGTGTGCGTGCAGGTGTGCCTGCTGGGCGCGGCCGAGGTGTCGCTGGCGGTGGCGCTGCGTACGTGTGCGTGTGCGGTGATGCGACGTAGTGTGGGTGTGTGCGTGTGTGCGGTGACGTGACGTGTTGTGTGTGCGTGCAGGTGTGCCTGCTGGGCGCGGCCGAGGTATCGCTGGCGGCGGCGCTGCGTACGTGTGCGTGTGCGGTGATGCGACGTAGTGTGGGTGTGTGCGTGTGTGCGGTGACGTGACGTGTTGTGTGTGCGTGCAGGTGTGCCTGCTGGGCGCGGCCGAGGTGTCGCTGGCGGCGGCGCTGCGTACGTGTGCGTGTGCGGTGATGCGACGTAGTGTGGGTGTGTGCGTGTGTGCGGTGACGTGACGTGTTGTGTGTGCGTGCAGGTGTGCCTGCTGGGCGCGGCCGAGGTGTCGCTGGCGGCGGCGCTGCGTACGTGTGCGTGTGCGGTGATGCGACGTAGTGTGGGTGTGTGCGTGTGTGCGGTGACGTGACGTGTTGTGTGTGCGTGCAAGTGTGCCTGCTGGGCGCGGCCGAGGTGTCGCTGGCGGCGGCGCTGCGTACGTGTGCGTGTGCGGTGATGCGACGTAGTGTGGGTGTGTGCGTGTGTGCGGTGACGTGACGTGTTGTGTGTGCGTGCAGGTGTGCCTGCTGGGCGCGGCCGAGGTGTCGCTGGCGGCGGCGCTGCGTACGTGTGCGTGTGCGGTGACGTGACGTGTTGTGTGTGCGTGCAGGTGTGCCTGCTGGGCGCGGCCGAGGTGTCGCTGGCGGCGGCGCTGCGTACGTGTGCGTGTGCGGTGACGTGACGTGTTGTGTGTGCGTGCAGGTGTGCCTGCTGGGCGCGGCCGAGGTGTCGCTGGCGGCGGCGCTGCGTACGTGTGCGTGTGCGGTGACGTGACGTGTTGTGTGTGCGTGCAGGTGTGCC